ACTTGGAGAAAAAAAAATCTTAAGTAACAGGAGTTTGGCATGTTTACTTTGAGAAGAGTTATTTTGGCTTTTTATAACTCAAAGAAATTACAGTTCTCGGGTTTGCATAACAACAATGTACCTGCTGGATGCTTTTTAGCCACAGTTCGAAAGATAAAAAAAATCCAAAACACTAAATTTATCTCAGAGCTCTTGAAGATTTATTGCAATCTGTTCTCAAGAGTGCTTATCCAGCTTTCAAATTCACAAAAAGTAAGTGTCAGGTTGCCCAAATGAGAGCACAACTGGATGCAAAGAGATACACTTGTACAGAAGAATAGATGTATGGATAAAGGCAGCAGGATTATTCATTGAGATTATTAGCACACAGAAAGAACTTGTTGGATTGGATGCTTGAAATGCAAAGTGGGTCAATACTTCAGTCAGACAGAAATGAGTGGGTGCTGATTCTGAATACTCTGTCCTAGCCAATTTTAGGCACATACCTCCTGTTCACATTTTAGAAAGATGGAATAAAAAAAACAACAGTGATGCTTCATCACAGAAATAATTCATATTTAGAATTCTTGTTACATTCCAAGTCAATGTGAAAAAAAATAAAAAAGAAGCTAAAAAAAATCAGGTAATGCCATGGTATGTGTTACCACAAAACTCCCAGAAAAGAGGCATTTCTGAAGGGCATTCCTCAAATCTAAACTCATTGTCTGACCGCAGTATTCTCAGATGCCAACAATCTCTTACAGAAAGATGTCTAAGCTTTCAAAACCAAAGGAAAAAAGACAAGAAACCCAAACACACAAAAACTACACAAAACAGGATAAGGATGCTCATGAAGCCTGACAGAATATAAGGGGTCAACTTAAGACCTTACTGTCAGCACTAACAAGACCTGAATGCCCTGGGGCATTCAGAAGCTGCATTATAGGTTCACAGCAACCTTACCTGCAAAAATCTTGGACACCTGAAAGATGAGATGGTATAGAAGTAACAGCTCTGAAAAGTCATGACTTGGGGACCTACATTCAAAAGGGAAAATGAGGCTGCAGCATCGAAGTTGTTTTGCAACCTGTCTCAAATCTCAAAGTTGACACATTCTCTGATGTACACAGTAATTCCCGCCCACCCTCCTTCCCACCTCTAACCCATAATAAGAATCTACCTTGTAAAAATGTTTGGAATCAAGTGAATCTGGTCTGAGTAAACATTCATAGCTGAGTGGATAGGGTTTCTTACCTACTATGTGTTAACATATACTGGTAGTCATGTCACTGGAAGACCAATGCCTGCTGCGTCAGCTTAAGCTCCTTAAGTCTTTCTCCAGGAAGTTTCTCCTCACATTTCTTTACAGAGGGGGAAACAACTTTCTAACCAAGGCAGAGCCTGAGGTCTTCCTGCATCTCATGTGTCAACACTTCTCTTGAACACTTCTCCTTCACACAAATTAGGAATATAATTCAAGTGTCAAACCACACAAAACTTCAGCAAAGACGTTCTTAAATAGGTACTGCTGGTTAACGAAGTACAAAAACCCCTAACCACTGTAACAGAAGGTCACGAGTACAGGACAGCATGGAGAAAAGAGACACAACCTGGATACTGGAACACAATGACCTACTAGCAAGAGCAATTACTGCTCTTAACTGTAATGCAGTGGAATTGTACTTCACCTTCAGTACAGGGCCAACTGTTCCACCCCTAGCATTCTGTGCCTTTGTAATAGTCTAAAATCAATGGTGTAAAGTCCCTCTGATCAGTGATTATTCATTATGCAAGTATGAAATATAATCTCTTTATGCATCACTATCCCTCCCCTCATCTCAGAAAGCTCACAGGTCCTCTCTCCCTGCCCTTCCTTCCTGTGACTGCCCTCAGCTTCCCACTTTTATTTGATGCACTCCCTAAAATGTTGACTTGAAGCATATATTGAGCGATTACAGTCACAACCTGCTCAACAGATAACATGAGAGAAAAATGAATCCAAGTCCATTCTGTTCTGAGTTGCTATTAGAAAATTAGTACTCCCTGAAAAAAAAAAATGGCTGTCATTCATGACAACTGACAGTTAATTAGCATCCAAACCAGAAGCAGTAGAAGAAAATGCTAGCTGTTCCTGGATGAAAGACCAAGCACAGGTCTCATTTTGAAATGTGTCAGAACTTTTAGACACGTGAAAAACCGATGTGTTAGTGACTGATCTGCCTGTGAACACATGGCATTCTTGAAACACCACAAAGCACATCTAATAGTAATACTAGTGTGGAGTACAAGATTCATCTCTGCATAGTCTTTGATCAACTCTCATCAACTTCAAATACCCTTCTTTTTTTAAGGACTACAAGATCAAGCACAGGCTACAGATCTTCAATAAACTGTTGAGAACAAAAAGTACATCAAAAAATTAAATATGCAGGTAGATTTTAAATGGCCAGTCAGGAAGTAGAGGAGATAGGAATTATGATCATCTTCTTCCCAGTGTAATGGATTAAAATAACTGCAAACAGCTACAGGAATGTTATACCCCTAGATCTTAAAACCAGTCATTAGTATTCAGGTGTAAGTAGATTTCACACCAAAAAGTCTTCCTGGTATATATGAGTGCACCAAGAACCTGTAGACAGCCTGCACAGTTATTCAAAGGGCCTTTCACAGATTCTGAATGAAATTCCTACATTACAAAGATTAGTGAAATATGTGGTGATACGTGAAATGCTGAAACAAATACAACTTCTTAATCTTTCTCTCCACCACTGATAACTGAAACATCCTACAAGAATCCAAACAGAGACATGCATCTCATACTACAGAGAAACTAGGTTAAAACACAGTGACTCAGAACAGAGATGCCAAGTGGTTTGCTAGAATTTTAATGTGTAAACCTATGGGTTAAAGAAATTTAGAAGAAAATGGGAGCTGTCAAGGGCCTAACCCTTGAACAACCCCAAAGCACTGAATCCCCATTGAAATAAGCAAGAGTCAGTTACGTACTTAGACCTAGCAACACAGCTGATTGAACAGAATTTTATTCAGGAATTGAACCACACAAATGTTTCCATTTTTATTCAATTTCTTAACTAGAAAAATCACCTGCTATTCCCTAGTACCCAGTTACTGTTCCATCAAATGTGACTTTATTTACTGCAAAATAAAAACATCTAATACTGCTAGCACTGAACCAGCACAGTCTATTTCAACAGCCTATGCACACAAAAAATATAAAAACAGACCATTAGCGAACAATTTTCTAACAAAATTTGAACCTTTCTCATGGAGGGTGGTAAAATATACACTGAAGATGAGGCGTCCACCCCACCAGAATGAGATTTCATACATAGTAAGCTTGATTGAGAACGAGTTAAATACTGAAAAAAGACTTGTGCCTTGTGATAATACTGCCAGAGAGCAGCGCATAATATATGTGCATTTTGATGTTTAAAACTGCATGAGAAACAGGATGATAAAATGGTAATAATCACGATTGCTCTAGCACCCTTTCAATTTCTAAGTATTCACAGCTTATGTACTGAAATAGTAAAATATGCACATCTCTGCATCTACAAATCCCTGCAAGTGCATCGCTGTGAGAAAACGTTAAATCTCTAGCAAAAACACGGTGTGTGACTGCAGATAAAAATTTCAGAAAACACCATCGACGCGGACTTTTCGCAGGACAGAGTTCCTTCCGAGCGCTCGGTGCAGAGGGTGTGTTTCCCGGCGGGAGGCACCCACCTGTCCCTCACCGCTGGCCGCTCACGAAGGGGCAGCGCCCGGG